TTATTACCAATGCAATTTGTAATTGATGCCATGGATGAAGCAAAAGAATACAGTACAGTAGAGATAACAAACAAACTAATATGAAACTGTTAACACCCTATATAGCTGTGAAATGGTTAAAAATAGTAAAATGTGGAGAAGAAGAGCTTAAAGAAGAAAAATTTTATATGAAAATTAAAGAAAACTGGTAGAATTTTAAAGAGTGTAGTATAAAGTTGTTTTATTGTTTTTTAGATGTGTTTTAAAGTACCGATTGTAAATGAATACTGGATAGGAAAATTCCAAAATCTAAATAAAGAATGTCTGTGTGTGGAAACCAAACTGGAATGTCTAGATTATAATCATTCATTTTCTTTTTGGCTTAGTCTCTTTATTATCAGGGGTTGCCACAGCGGAATGAACTGCCAACTTATCCAGTATACGTTTTGTACAGCGGATGCCCTTCCAGCTGCAACCCAACACTGGGAAACACCCATACACAATATTTTACACACTATGGCTAATTTAGCTTATTCAATTTACTTGTACCACATGTCTTTAGACTTGTGGGGGAAACCGGAGCATCTGGAGTAAACCCATGCAAACACGGGGTAAACATTCAAACTCTGCACAGAAATGTCAAACAGCAAGTTTCTTGCTGTGGGCCGATAATGCTATACACTGCGCCACTGTGACGCCCCCTTTAGAATGTTATATCAGACATAACACTATATTTACAGAATGTGTTTTAAAGAAAGTAGGGATGAAACAGAATGATTTGAGTAAAGCTTGTTATGTGAAAGATGAATGAGTGTTACATCTGTTTCTATACTGCAATTAAGTGAAAGAGATTTTAGAAAAAATCAAAGAATTAATCAAAGAAGTATGTGAACACTGGAATGAGAATGTTATAGAGTGGGACAAAGTGTGGATGGTTGGGAAACAAAAAGCAAAATTAAAAAATGCAGAAATCTTTGGTGATTTTAGTGAAAAGGGCAATATGGAAAAGAATCACAGTGAAAAAAATATTGTTAGATGTTTGGTGTATTTTCAAGGGAAAAGTGAAAGGATACATTTAAAAGCTATTTTATTTTATTAGGTGAAAACAGGTTGGCATATTTTTATGTTTTTACACCAAAGGTTTTGTCATGTTTTATCTACTATTCAACTCTCTATTTAACTTTTTACCACACCGTTTTTACAATGTACGATATTGTACAAACGGTGTGATAATATTGCATTTTTGAGATGTGCAATCTCAGCTTGCGTCATTAAGGCTGCATTCAAATACTATACTAGTGAGCAGGGTTGGCCCTGGTTAGTACTTTGGATGGGAGACCACCTGTAAATACCAGGTGCTGTAAGCTTTTGGTTCTCCTTCATTTGTCAGCTAATACACTTCTCCATGTCCCAGCTAGTATCTACTTAAATTTTATTTCTTCTTTACTTGCATTTCTTTTTGACTTCTGTCTGTTTCAGAGCAGCAAGGGACAGCCCAGCTGCGTCGTTCTTTCCTATGTCCTCCAGAGGGCGATGGGGAGGCTTTTTCTCCCCCCTCAATAGCAACACGCAGTGAAACTTTTACTGTAAGTGCCACACGCTTCTCAACTTCAGCTATAGCTGCAGTATTTTACTGAAATAAAAGCTTTATGTATTATTTAGCACCTAATAAATACAAGAGTAATGATACAGCTGTCCTGGGCATAAAGACAGTTGTATTTACTTTTGTGATTTAAACGTCACAATAAAAAAATATATATTTTTCAGTTTTATAATTGTGTCATGTGCCCCTTCATTGTCTTAAGTCCTGTGTGTGTGTGTGTGTGTGTATATATATATATATATATATATATATATATATATATATATATATATATATATATATATATATATATATATATATATATATACACATATATATTCATTCATTCATTCATTCATTTTCTTGTCCGGGGTCGCCACAGCGGAATGAACCGCCAACTTATCCAGCACGTTTTTACGCAGCGGATCCCCTTTCAGCCGCAACCCATCTCTGGGAAACATCCACACACACACTCATACACTATGGACAATTTAGTCTACCCAATTCGCCTGTACCGCATGTCTTTGGACTGTGGGGGAAACAGGAGCACCCGGAGGAAACCCACGCGAAGGCAGGGAGAACATGCAAACTCCACACAGAAATGCCCACTGAGCCGAGATTCGAACCAGCGACCTTGCTGTGAGGCGACACACTACCTACTGCGCCACTGCCTCACCCTATATATATTACTTTATTAAGTACACCTTTCCAACTGCTTGTTAATGCAATTTTCTAGTTAGCTAGTCACATGACAGCATTTTAATGGACTTAGGCATGTAGACATGCTCAAGACTATCTGCTGCAGTTCAAATATCCAGAGACCAGCATATCAGTGGGCACAAATGCCTTGTTGATGCCAGAGGTCAGAGGACAGGGGCCAGAGTGATTCGAGCTGATAAAAAGACAACAGTACTCAAATAACCTCTCGTTACAACCAAGGTATGCAGAAGAGCTTCTCTGAACGCACAACATGTTGAACTTTGAAGGGGATTGGCTACAGCAGCAGAAGACCACACTGGGTGCCACTCCTGTCAGCTAAGAACAGGAAACTGAGGTTACAATTCACACAGGAGAATAAAATAGAAGAATAGAAAAACGTCACCTGATCTGATGAGTCTCTATTACTGCTGCGACATTTGGTAGGTATAGGGTCAAGATTTGGCATGGATCCATCCTGCCTTGAATCGATGATGGTGTGGGGGGTATTTACCAATTGACCTCGTGTCAGTGCCACAGCCATTTTTGTTGCTAACCATGTCCATTCCTTTATGACCACAGTGTACCCATCTTTTGATAGCTGATAACGCACCATTTCAAAACATAAATCTGTTTTGTTTAAATGCAACAAAAATTATTATCTACATTCACAAAGAAATTAATAAAAATATTCATTTTAAAAAGGGGCTGTACTCATTTATGCTGAGCACTGTATTCGTATTGTTTTTATTAATCATTAATCTTTTTTTCTATCTCTCTTATCTATATCCCCGATATTTAAATCTGAAGTGGATATATACAGTATGAACATATATAAAATGATTGCTAATACAATTAAACATGCTTCTTTTTAATTCTAATAGATAAAAAATATATGTAAATAGCCAAGAGCATGGAGTGACTGAAAAATCACATTATTTTATTGTAGCATTGACAATGAAACCAACATAAATCACTAGGATTGGTCTTAGTCTGGTTGTCAGCATGCTCTGAAGCTGCAAAGAATTTCATGCAACTATAAGTTAAGGCAAAATTTAGCCAAGATAACCTAAAAATCCCTTAATTTACTTTTTTATAATCCATACACACTGTACAAAAAAAAAAGTGAAATTAAATTAGAAATTAAGTGATGGGCAGGGACCCTGCTGGCCGGTACGGATCCTATGACAACATTTTTTTAAGAAGTTAAAATTATCAATGCCCATGGTGATGGGCAATAAAATAAAATGACACAGGGTACTAGTATTGAAAACATAAAGAAAGTGTGCACAGCCGCTATAAAGTCTCAGTAGTTAAAAAACAGATTTTGTAGTTGAAACCAGGGTGGACATTTCAGCAAGATGAAGATGAATGACTAAGTAAAGATCCCAAACACAGGCAAGAAAGACTATAGTCTCAGAAAAAAGAAAATAAAGCTGCTCAAATGGCCCAGCCAATCAACTGACTTGAATCCAAAAGAAAATAAGAACTAAATATCAGAGTTGATCGACGAGGCCCATAGAACCATGAGATTTGAACGGTGTTAAACTAAGAGAAAAATTCACACCAGAACAATGTATGCAACTTCATCTTGAATCATTATTTTTTTAAATAAAAGTATTAAATGAGTTTTCATAGATATGCACACATAACAAATGTTTCATATTTTTGTAAAAAAAAAATGTTCTGCTGTATGTCTGCTCGAAAGGTTGTGACATACAGAACTGCCCAAGAATCTCAGCAACTGTTTATTAGCATTGTTTATCCATATCACACATTTAATCAAAGCTTTAAAAAACTCAAGGTTACTTAGTCTCTGTCGATTACAGGACATTGTGTTTATGTAATGTAATGTAAAATGTAATGTAATGTGTATTTATATAGCGCATTTATTGTGTATGGCAATACACCCAAAGCGCTTCACAATCATGAGGGGGGGTCTCTCCACACCACCACCAGTGTGCAGCATCCACTTGGATGATGCGACGGCTGCCACAGGACAACGGCGCCAGTGCGCTCACCACACACCAGCTATTGGTGGAGTGGAGAGACAGTGATAGAGCCAATTCGGTGGAGAGGGGATGATTGGGAGGCCATGATCGTAAGGGCCGATAGAGGGTCTTTGGCCAGGACACCGGGGTTACACCCCTGCTCTTTCACGAGAAGTGCCTTGGGATTTTTAATGACCACAGAGAGTCAGGACCTCGGTTTAACGTCTCATCCGATGACGTCTCATCCGAAAGACGGATGCATTATACTGCATATTAGTGCCATTTGCAATTTGTTGAACACTGGCCTTTGAACTAGTTATTTTGTCCAAATCATGTTTAAATTTGACATCATCAACAATTATTATTGAATGTTATTATTAATTTAACAACATTATTTTGAAAAAAAAAAAAAAAAAACAGAGAGGAGAAACCTGATATAGGTGCAATGGAATTTTCTGAGTTGTACTCATTAGTGACAAACACTTTCTCTCGCACACTTTTCTCTCTCTCCCTCTCTGACTTTTTTTTCTGAAGTAAAATGTCCTCATATAATTAAACCAGTTCAGCACTGACTAATGAACAGGACCTCTCACGAATGCAGTGAAACTAATGTTGTGTGTGTGTGTGTGTGTGTGTGTGTGTGTATGTGTGTGTGTGTGTGTGTGAGAGAGTGAGAGAGAGAGAGAGAGAGAGAGAGAGAGAGAGAGAGAGAGAGAGAGAGAGAGAGAGAGAGAGAGATGGCGCTGTGTTCAGCTCACAGCCACAATGTGAGGAAAGGAAACTTCGCCAGGCAACTTCAATGAGACTTTCTGCTCTATAACAGCACACGGATTACAAAGTTAGCCATGAGGATGTGACTCCTAACGACTTCTTGGTGTGTTTTCTGGATAAATACACAATTAAAATTGTGTTATTGCGGAGCGAGTGAGTTCGCGGAAGGAGCGAGTTTTTTCCGCGGGATCAATGGCGTTACTTAAGTGAGAAACCGCAAAAAAGATAGCTTCAGGCTTTGAAATCACGCTGCTTGTGATTCTGAAGCTGTTACACATGGAACTATGAACGATTCGGAGCTCACGCTGACCTCCAATGCGCAACAGCGCATGGCTTCAGGTCTGTCTGGGGAGGAGAGCTCTCTACCCGGCAGCGTGTGCAGACCCGAGCGCAACGGGATCTTCTTCGTCCACTGTTTCATCTGTGGGAGCGGGGTGACTGCGGGGAAAGAGCTGAGCTTGCAGGTAAAATACCAGAGAGAAAAGGATGGGCCGTTTTTCCCTTTCCTGCAAGGCCAGGACCCGGCTCCAGGCGCGCCGGAGATCGGTCCGGATGGGGAAGCTCTGGTGTGCGCCGTGTGTCACTGCTTTCTGCGCGAACAGTGGAACTCATTCGAGCGCAACAGGACACCCATCGAGAAGCGCATGTACTGGCTCAAAAGACCCTACCAGTGCGATTTACGAAACATAACCTACGATCTGGAGCGGAGAATGAGCGCCGGGAATTATGACGGCAACGACTCTGACATTTCCTCGTTCTCTGATAATGACCTGTCCGAGCAGGACTTGGACTTGTCAGCGTGTATAATAAATAGTAACAGTACTACAGGTTTTCGTGGGTCTAATAAAGCATCAAGAGAAAGCAGCAGAAAGAGCGTTAAAAGCAGTCCCGAGTCAGTACGATATCCAGCCAGAGTTTACCCAAGTCAGGACATACCCCAATCAGATCGTCGCACGACTAAAATTATCAATCACACATCGAGCTCATCTGTGTCCATGGCTCTGCAGCAGTACGACTGTCGATCTGTGCGCACCCCCCTTCAGGATAACGACACCATTGCGTGTGGTAAGTGGATGAATGCATCTATTGGTGACTCTGACGCACCGGACAGCTGTGAGATCAACATCACCAGCGATGACGACAGAGAGTGCGCAGCATCATCTCACTTTGATGTACAGAGGAGCCAAACCGTCAAGAGCCATGCCAGTCTTTCTGCTGATGGATGTGCCTGTTATATTTGTGGAAGCAGTCTTTCAGCAGGAGGCCGCTTCAAAGTGTTTGTACAGAAGCAGGAGAGAGCATCCAGTGAACCCTTCTTTCCTTTTCTGTGGCTCCACACCCCTCCAGCAGGTGCTGTGCCCCTCAGCCTAGGTGGATACACTTTGGTGTGTACCACTTGCCACTCTTCCCTCATGCAGCAGTGGCAAGGGTTTGAGCTGGCAGATGTGCCTGTCCTTCAGCGACTCTATGTAGTACCTCTAAACACGAGTGCGGCAACCCCTCTTTCTCCACCTGCCATGAACGAATGTGTAGATGTGCTACCAAAAGTTCACCCGCTCCCCTCTATGCCACAGAATAATAGGGAGGCTTGCTATCTGTGTGGGCATGACTGCAGTCGAGAGGTCAGGATGGCATACACCCATGCTGGTGCAAGTAAATCCCGCAGTGCAATGTATTTTCCATTCATAAACTTGCTACCGTGCCCCCCGAATGCTCAGAGTGTGAGGAATGGAAGGGTACGCTGCTGTGTGGCGTGTCACAGCATCTTGGAAAGGATATGGGCAGAATACTGCCTCTGTCTAAGTGAGGAGCTCATAATGTCCGTCAACACTTTTCTTGAGAGATACCACCTGGCCACGGGAAGAGGAGAATCCGTGGTATCCCCCTCCAAAAGACCCCTGTTGCCCCCATCTCAGACTTCCACAACAACCGCAAGCCACACCTCCATATGTTACTTGTGTGGGGAGGAGCTCTCTGGAGCAACAGAGTATCAGCTTCACGTTAACCCTCCAGGGCGTTGTGGAGAACGGGAGCCCTTTTTCCCATTTCTCACAGTCCACCCTCCCGCTCCCCGTGCCCGCCCTGCTGATGCCACGGGCCTAGTGTCTGCCTGTGCACTGTGTTACCATGACCTTATGGGCCAGTGGTCCCAACATGAGAGTCAAGGCTCAGGATCAGGCCCGTCCAGCAGCCCCTGGGCACGCCAGTATAACTGCAACACTTTCATCTGCTTCTTCTGCAGGAAAGAGAAGAAGAGACCTCTTGGGCTGAAAGCGGTGTGTGTTGATCGCTTGCCTGTGTTTCTCTATGCTCCAAGAGTCAGCCAGACCCTGGTAATTGACAATGGCAAGCAGTTAACAATTGGCTCCTGTGTGGAATGTAAGTCCATGGTTCTGGCTGGACAGAACATGAAGCCGGTCAGTGGAATTGCACAACACAAGGTAAGAAAGTTGCGGGTCACATTACTTTTCACCATAACAGTCCAGTTGGTTATACTATAAGTAATCATTCACCACTACAACAGTTTCAAATTGTTTCTTTATTTTGTGTTAATTTATTTCTTCATTTTTTTGAAACTATTACATGGTCTTTTCGAGTCTCTTGGGGCCTCTGTTAGCACGGTTTATTAGGCAGCTTTGGCTGGAGCTGTTTCTGGGCCAGCATGCAAAAGTTCATCTGATGCACTGATGAGTGAGTGAGCCAAGTGTTGAAACTGAAGTTTTATGGCACGCTGCTGTTCTTTCTAGTGAGTGGGATGGCCATCGCAGGCAGGGGGTAGATAAAGTATGGAGCCTGTCGCATTAAAAAAATAAACATTTCGCAGACAGTCTAGGAGTTGTAAGCTCTCTTTAATAACATTCTTCCAGAGGCCAACTCAAGCTTTTGTTGGTCTCTTGGTGTGAGTGTGTAAATATTGTATGCATGTTTGTGTTTCAGAGAGACAGAGCAGGCTGTTTTGAGGATGTTAAAAGCACGTATTGTTAACGGTTAGTTAAAAGGGATAGTTCATCCAAAAATGTCAAGTCTGTGATCGTTTGCTCAATCTTTACTTGTTTCAAACCTTTGTGAGCATCTTTTTTTCTGTTGAACATAAAAAATGATATTTTGAAGAAAGCTGTAAACATTGACTAACATAAGAAGTCTGTTTTTCAGCTTTCTTCAAAATATCTTATGTGTTCAACAGAAGAAAGCAACTCATAAAGGTTTGGAACCAATTGAGGGTGAGTAAATAGTGAGTAACGTTTCATTTTTGTCTGATTTATCACTTTAAAGCTGTAAATGCCTGTGTTTACATGTCTGTAAAACGTGGTCAGTGTCATGGTAAATATTTGCTAAAACAAAAGCTAATAAAATTGAGTTTATAGGTTTATGTATGTGTCTAGATTAACATATGAGACACAAAACAGCTCACTAGCATCTTATTTAGCAACTTCACTTCGGTAGATTTCATGTTTGGGAGTACAGCACTGATTTCATTTCTACTTTGGTTTCTCCAGTCTACCATTATGCTAGCTTCCATACCTGTTGGAAGTTAGACCATAACTGCAGTTCTACCATGGTGAAACGTAAAGCTAAAATTATAGTTACATGGTTCTTATAAAACTTTGGTGTATGTGTATTTAATATAATTCTACAAAGTTTCAGCTAAAATCTCATGGTTAATGCAGTTAACCATGCATCATTAATCTCTGGTAAATACAATATTAATAAGTTACCAATGTGCTGAAATCTTTTTAAGCTTTTTTAAATGTGATACTCTGATTTTACTTTCGTAGGGCTGCTGAGAATGAGTCAATGTTTATGAATGAGTTCAAGGTCTTCTCACTGTACAGTGTCTCACAAGACTGTTTAATAGTAGCATTGTGTGGTCAAAGTTTGCTCGGCTCTTTCAGGCTTTTTACATAGTCTGTGATGGATGGTTCAAAAATGAAACATTGTTTCATTCAACTTTAACACTTTGCAGTGTTTGACTTTTAATGTTTCTCCTATGCAACAGAAATAGTCTAATCATACTGAGATGACCAACTTTATTTAGGACCAACAAAAATGGAGAGGAGACCTGCTAATATGAAGCACGTTTTGCTTTTATTTATCTCACTCCTTTTTCCTGTAACACTCCCCCATGATATGCTCTGGTGTTTCCTTACAGACAGGAAGCTGTTCTTTGGAAGTTGTATGCAGAGCCTCTGGGCTTGTCATGGATAAATAGTTCTGGCTGTGGCAGTCATTTGTGAGGAAGTGTGTGTCATTGGTCAACATCTTTCAAGAAAAATGTCAAGCACAAGTTGCTATTTGTCATTTTGAATTTATTTTGTTTAATGCTCATTAATAAACAGTAAAACTGCAAATAAGCCAGAGTTAGCCACAAGGGCTATTTATCATTTAGGAAATTGACTAAAAAATTTGAGTGAAAGACTAGAAACATAAAGGAAGTGTTAAAATTAAAAGTAAAAGTGAGAGTGTAAAGCTTGAAAAAGCCTTAAGCAACTGTCCAAAAGCAAATGTCTTTGTACTTTTTTGTTTGTTTGTTTTTGTAATTTTTGTAATTCTAATCCAAACAATGGCAATGTGTCGCTCACGCATGTTTTGCTTCACGCATGTTTGCTTCACGCACCAGAGGCTGGTGGATCTCATCTTGTCATATGCATTATGATAAGACTTACTTTTATAAGTAAATTTCATTTGCATTATACGTTAATGAAAGTTTTATAAAAGTATCACAGTATATTGAGGTAAAAAAAGAGCTATCAAGAAAAAACTTTACACTTTAATTGCATGTCATGGTGAAGTGAGCCTTATTGTTCACTGAATAACGAGCCAACTTACACCCAGTGGTATTAATTGCGTGCTTTTTTCAAAAACAACAAGTGAATTTAAACAGGTAAATTTAAACTTGTTTAATGTATAAATGTTTTACATTTTTTTGTTTGCACACATTTTGTCTTCAAATAAAACACAGTATAATATGCATACGCTTATAGCAAATTTGGAAATACATTGTTAAACAAAAAGAAAAAACTGAATTTGCATAAACAAATAGTCAAATATTAATTGTTTAATGACCTTAAATATTTAGAAAGAATAATTCTGAAAATGCCCGTCCTTAACATGTGCCACAAATATATTTATACTGTATATCGTGATATGACAGTAATTAGGATGTGTTAATGTCAGAGTACTGCCCATGAGGCTACTGGAGTCAACAATCCTTTTTTTGAGAATATTATGCTTGTTAATTAAATTTCAGTTAATTTCTTAAAATCTATCTTTTAAAAATAACAACATCCAGGTAGAGGACAAAAACACAATTTGTTTTCCAAAATGTGATGAACAATGGTTCACCTGGTGAATGTCACCGGGTGGATGGTAATTGTTTCATTAGTTTCACAAGGTTTTATTAGTTAATGTATTTACTCAAATTAACTAGGAATGAACAAGACTTGTACAGTACAGCATTTATTAATCATAGTTCATCATTTACTAATGCATTATTGAAATACAAACTACTGCAAACTTTCCATGAATAGGCCTATTCGATCAATCCCTTTACTGATAAATTTGAAGTAAACTTTATTTGATACTAGCAACAGCTTTTCTCTGAGCAAGTTTTAACAGATTCTCTGCCATTTCGTTCAACTCTACTTCTACAATTTACATGAGTAGCTAGATATCTGTACATTTTTTTACTGGTTTTTATTCATTTAGTAAATTTTTTATATAAATTTCATACAGGAAGCCTTGTTCAATGCAAATAATAAATTAAAATATACTATATCTGTTTATTATGTTTTCACCCATTGTGTGGCCAGTAAAATTGCCAAAATCTCTTTACAATGATTTTTCAATATTTTAACATTCATATATTTAAAAGGGTGAGATATGAAGTGTTAATTTTTTCTTCACAGAGTTTTTCTTGAGTCTATTTTTCTTCAATAGGCCTATTCAATGCAATACATGATTTTTTAAAACTCAAAACTCCAGTTTTAGTCATTTCCATATGTAATTTCTATATAGTTTCTTTAATGTGCAACATTAAAAACATGAAATTACTAAAAATTAAGTTGTCATTCAGGATGTATATGAATTCTTCATATATATCCTGCTGATGCTGTATAACCCGAGTCAGCTATTTCTGAATAGTCTGTAGAAACTGAATTGATGTATTAATAAATGTTTGTGTTTTATATATTGTCCCACTTGACATCTTTAGGCAGACATATTTCCTCTTCATTAACTATACTACTGGCAATTTAAAAAGCCAGTGAATTTTCTGTTCTGATCTCAAGCCTTGGTAAATAACTGAGAAAACGCAAATCAGAGCACGCATTTTTATGATGTCATGATGTAGACTTCTTACATAGTATTTTACAGTATTTTAAAAATACAAGACACTAAAGTATTTTTATACAAAATATTAGGCCATTTTCATTATCCCTATCAAATACAAATGACAAAATCTTGTTTTGTATTTGAAATACTTGTATCATACATACTGCCCATCCCTGATGACATCATTAAATACAAGCAGTCAAATTTATAAACTGAAACTTTCATTTAAACTGCTTGCTGGAATCATGCTTCTTGAATGTATGATCATGCAAAAATCAAGTCTGGATACAGAAAACAACAAGATATTACATCCAGCAAAATCCATCATGTTATCACAGCTCACTGTAGATTTTTATAGCCAGATATTACAAACGATAACAAAATCGAGCCTCCAATATGCTCCATATCCAACATATGTTTTACGCAGCGGATGCCCTTCCAGCTGCAATCTATCTCTGGGAAACATCCATACACACTTATTGAAGCACATACACTACGGACAATTTAGCCTACCAAATTCACCTGTACCGCATGTCTTTGGAGTGTGGGGGAAACCGGAGCACCCGGAGAAACCCACATGAATTCGGGGAGAACATGCAAACTCCACACAAAAATGGCAACTGACCCAGACGAGGTTCGAGTCAGCGATCTTCTTGCTGAGGCGACAGCACTACCCATGCATTATACAAAGATAATATATAAAAAACACCATCTAAACTTTTTTAGAAGTGGGTTTCCCTCATTTTGAATAAAACTCATGTCTAGTATATTAATGTACAGATATTTGCTAGGGTTGTCCAGATTCAGGCCCGATCATGCAGTTTCAGACTCGATCGAAATCGGAAGTTACCGCCCGATCAATACTATATATATATATATATATATATATTCTCATTATTTTTTAACACATCTATAGTTATGTGGTGGCATGATTTCAGCATGACACCACTTTGTTGCAGTGTCACTATTGGTTAAATGCCAGCAAAGTAGAACAGAAACAGCTTGAAGCGGAGCATGAGTATGTCTGCGGTCTAGAGGTATTATAAAGTTGATGACAACAACATTGCCATAGCAAACAGTCAGATTTGTAAACCTGGGATTGCCTGCTGGG